AGAGAGAGAGAGAGAGAGAGAGAGAGAGAGATAGGGAGACAAATTTATAGAGATATAGAGACTAACTGTACGAAAAGTGGGAATACATGGAATAGCACCAAGTGGCTAGCACAGGATAGAGAAAGGTGGAAAGTGTTTGTCGGTGGCCTATACCCTGCTGCAGAGTGAGAAAGGCAATGATGGTGATGATACTAAGAAACAGACAGACAGAGAGACAGACAGGCAGGCAGACATGCAGACAGACACACGGACAGACAGACAGACTGACAGACCGGCAAGCAGACAGGCAGACACACAGACAGACAGGCAGACTGACAGACCGGCAAGCAGACAGGCAGACACACAGACAGACGGACACGGAGACATACAGACAAATACAGAGATTAACACATAGAAGGAAAAGGCGTACAATGCTATTTCCTTTCCCGTTATTATTGTGCTCTTATGATTCCAGGGAAAAAAAAACCCAGAACGACAAGCGGAAAATACTAGGACAATATTTAGGAAGACGGACCTGCCCGACACGGATCAGAGGGAATAAAGAAAGTTACTTGGATTTAGATTGGTCCCAATAGTGAGCCCCACACGACACTTTTTAGTACGGCGACAAAATATTGGTCTTTCTTAAGACCTCAGTGTTTATGAGCGATAGCCACTAGGCTTGGCGGAAGGGTCAGACACTGTACTCGGTTCTTTTACACCCTCGATTACTTTACTTTTGTAAAGCAAAGGTCGCCGAATACTTACTATCTTTGCTTGAAGCGAAAGGTCGAAAGATTCGGAGGGTTTATGGGATACTCGATCCTTCGCGCGCTTCCTAGTATATCCTGGACAATTCTTCGTGGACATATCCCTCAGGTAATAAATGAACCGACTTGCGAGTGGCCGGTCATTTCTCGCGGTGTTGCATGCACACATAACGTTTTATGAAGCTTCTCTTTTCTAGATACAAATGTTTGAGAAGATAAAAGAAGTACAGGTTACAGTAGAAAGGAAAATACTGGAGTCTTGTCTTTGGACTTGGCTGAATGAAGTGTAGGGTGAGTAGACGCAGTTAAACAGATGATAACAAGGCATATCGGGAAGGGCTCGAGCCTGGATTCACGCGCATACACACGCATATACACGCACACACACACACGCATACACACACACACACACACACACATACACACACACACACACACACACACACACACACATA